AAAAAAAAAAAAAAAAAAAACCCTAGTTCAGCGGCTCAATAACATGAAACCGAGTAAACCAAGACGTGGCTATAATGGTTGATTATGATGACCAAGCAAATGGAAAGAAATATATTTTCTTCATTGCCGCATGTTCTTGCACCCTATATAATGTCAAACGTTCCAATAGCCACGATTCAGTGATAGTCAAGATTAGAAGCAGCAACGTTCAGCTGTCCAGACAGACCAAATGCAGATCATGGTGATTCAAAATTCTGTCCCTGCACCACTCACGGTCGATTTATTTTCAGCCACTTGATAGCAGGAGCTCATCAATTTCAGAAATTGCTCTGATATGAGTATCAGGCAACAATAATCGAAGCAGAGGAACCATGGATGAGGAGGTTGGAACCTTTGCCTTGATCTTCTGCACTGCTTCCTTGACTACATGAGGTGGTGGTACAGAATACCATTGAAGATACCAACAAAATAGAATGGCTTCCCGTTGAGGAAACCCAGACAGGTTATGAGTCCAATTATCCAAGTTTATATAGTTGATCAAACAATCTTTCAACCCTAAGGAACTTTTAAGAATTTCTTCTACATGCTTCTTGATTGATTCCAAAAAAGTAGACTGTATTATGCCTCCTCGTGGACTAGACAGTCTACCACTGTTCGAAGCTTCATTATAGGCTAATGCAAGCTGCAGCATGAAGAGAAAATGTATTATTCTAGATGGCTTAGCAATTTTATCACCCTTTCCACAAGACATTTCAGATGGCTAAAGCTATTGATAGCGTTAACATCGAGGGGAGCAAAGAATCATTGAAAAAATCAATGATAACCAAAAGCCTTTAAAGGATAACAAAATAGCAGAAGAAATAAACAAAGGGGCCTAAGGGGTATACTCTTTGATTTCTATCCTGTAAGTCTGAAACAGCAATCTTAGCGAATGGAGTTGAAACATTTCTCCATTATCCAACATAGATTTAATATCCATAATTGACTTTGTACCCTTCATATATCTATTATAACTGATCCTATGCTGATCTTATATATGTACAAATCTTGAACCCACGTAATACAAATAACAGAATGATTTCGAAACTTAAATAAAGAAATAATAAAATCAGCTAGGAGATTGTCACTTTTCAGGTGTGTTTTCCATATACAAGTTGCATGATTTGGTTGCGCTCATGCAAGTTACAATATATTATTAATGAGATGATTCCACTGACGTGTTTAGGATTAGCTTATCTTATTTATTCTGTTAGTATGGGTAAGAATGAAAAATAAAATTCCTACCTTCAAACTGTGTAGAAAAGATAAGTCATGAAAAACAACGCAGCCACTTTTCACCTGCTCCCACATCGATGCAACTGTTGTGTACAGTGAGAGGTAAATCTGCATATCATGTAAGGTTGGCTATTTCAATATTTTGCTCAGAGAATACATATAAGGAATCTTCTCACGCTTGTTTCATACCTGCAGAAGAGCTGGCCTATCATTGCTGATACATTCAAAAATTACTTGCAAGCAGAACTCCTGGAAACTGACATCGTCTCTGAAAGATGAAGAATATAAGGACTCTTACAATTATAACCATCAAAATATACTTAGATTTCAAAATAAATCTCAATAAGACAATCCAAAATCAAACTAAATTTGGTTTCATCTGTAAATTTGCACTCCAATTTAAGTAGTCATAATTTCTATAAAATAAATCATATGGAAGCATTCAAAAAGATTTGAGCATCCAACAAAAATTATCATTTTGCATCAATACTAGGTTATTTAGTATCTTTGACCAGTAAATCTTGAGAAATTTTGACTTAAGATACTCTTTATAATGATGTCTAGCCCATTTTTGTTTAAATTAATTTAAAGACAACACGGTACATCTGCAATGATATTTTGAAGAGATCAATTTAGATCTTCATTACTCCGTAACAGCTCCAGCTCTAGTTTGTCAAATTCAATATCCTCTTCAGTTACAGATGAAGTATATAAGATCATATGATAGCAAAGATACAAACCATGATGTGCAGCAGAAGATTTACCCCGTATTTCTTTGCCTTAGGGGCTGGCATTCACGAACTCCTCTTCATTTAACTACATAGTAGCTACAAAGGGACTCACTAAGCCAAACATGAATATGGGGACATAAATACTTGAAAAAGTGCTCATAAAGTTATATGACTAACATTGATTCCACGAAACCACCAAATTCCAAGAACTTCCAACTTGCTAAACCAAATGGTCTAATAACTAGCAAAAGCTGCTTAATAATAATAATAATAATAATGAATCGGCAGTATCAGATCAATTGAACTGACGAGTTAGTTTTGCTCATTACAAAGGAATGGAGAGAGCACGGGCAAAAGGTCGATATAGGAAAACTGAGGGATAAACAAAGTGGTGGAAAGAAAGAAAAAAAAAGTGTCCGAAGGAGAGACCGGAGAGATCAAGCGAGTGTGAGATAAGTCAAGCACAAGATCGAGTGATCATGTAGAGTGAGTGTTCACATGAGTGACCAGGTAAGTAAAGGCCGAGGCAAGTGAGCAAACAAGACTATCAAAGAGCAAGCAAAATAGGTTTTCGCACAACTATGCCAGGGGTGGATGGATCAATTGAATAGCATAGTCGAATTGAGAATGAGAAAAGTGATGGGTGATTCAATATCAAAAACTAGAATTTCTCTTTTTTCTTTTAATTTATATTTAAACGGTCAAATTTAATCTAGATTCTTATTTGTTCAAACATATAAATCTAGAACAAATTTCTATTCATCAAAGAAGTGTTATATATTTTTAGGATTATTTGGTTTGAAGGAGAGTAAAAGAAATGTTTTTACAACTTGCAATAAAGAAAAGGTAAGTGATATTTAAGATGTGTAGCATGCTAAATATTCTAGGGTTATTGTTTTATTTTACAACTTTTAGATTTAAGAAGAATGTAAGCAAATAAATTAATATGAGTGTTTTATATATTATTGTATAGTATACATGACACATAGGTTATGAATGGAAGAGTTAAAAAAAGATAAGCAAACATTAAAGTTTAGTTGAAGACTTGATCTTCTAAAAATTAAATTAGGT